TTTCTTGAAGTGATGCCTGCATTACACTATGTAGGCTGCAGCATTAGTTTAAAATGGAAAATAGTCATACTGGGGAATCGTGTCTTAAGGTCTACAAATGTGGTTTGTCTAGTTAACTTTTTGTTTAACTGTTGAGGTGAAAGTCTTTTTGTTTCACTCAGACTACTCTCACTACTCAAAACCAGATTTTTGACAGACCTTTAAAATCAGCTGCTGGTAATTTCTGCCCCAATATGTCTAAATTGAGTCATTCGCTTTACTAGTAGTAGAATTAATTCTTCCCTTCAGTCTAACTGTACACATGATCATTTATGCATGTAGTATTAACTGTGCATTTTCTATATGATATAGTGTTCCAGATGTTGGTATCCAGTGCTACTATTTTCATATTAAACAAAAATTATTTTTTTTTTTTTTTTTTTTTGTTTAAATACAAGGGATGACTTCTGTAATTTAAAAGTTGGCAAGTGATCTGTAATTCTTTTGGGATCTGCCCTGAATTCTTCAAATTTGGAGGCGAAATTCAACATCTGTATGTCCCAATATGTTTGCAAATTATCATAGGAGTGGAAGATTGAAGGGAGGCATTTAAGTCTTGTGAGCCTTTATGCAACTGCTCATTAGACACTCATCAAACTCCACCTTGGAACAAGTTAAATTTGTTTGCCTTTGCTCTTGTCTCCACTGTTGGAAAACTGATTGATACAGCGATGTGTTTCTTAATGTCTTGTGTAAATACATTCATGCTTTATTTATGCCCATTGATTTTAGCACCAATATTGACTCTTAATGTAATAATTTTTTGTGACTTACAGAGATCTCAATTTTTTTTCCAGGGAGGGTAGGAAGCCCATATAAGCCAGACATTTTTATTTTACTTTCCTAAGTTCTCTGTCTCCCTAATTATTATAGTAGTCTCTCTGTGCATGCAGCACAATTTTGAGTGGAATTTCCAGGAATTGGGGTGATTGGAGCTGCACGGAGTGCTCCAGGAGGAGAAGCTTTGTGCTGAGGCATTTCTATGGCCCTGATTTACTGTGACTGTATCACCTGGTACGAATTGTACTTGCTTTTTTACAATGAGGCGGCCTAGACATTATTTCGGTCTTCTGCCATTTCCTGGTTTTAACTCCCAATTTACAGCAGATGCTCTTATCCTAGCCTCAAAATGCATATTTTTGCACTTTATGCTGTTAAATTTCATCCCACTTACATTAATCCAATGCTCATAGCAATCCAGCTGTGCCTTCTGCTCTTACTCCATATTAATGATGTTTCACAACCTTGTGACAGCACCCATTTTGGCACTGTTTAGTACCAAAATTTGTACTATAAATATATTCACGTGCACACAAACATGCTCTTATTTTACCTTTTCTTTTTATATGCTAGTACTTCTCTATTGCATATTACCTGCGATCTACTTTTGGAAGTTTCTTAGATATCTTACAATTCTTCTAATCCTAGTCTTTTCCCCCTTAGTTCATGCTATGCTAAATCCATGTGCATTATAATTCAGTAATTAATTGGTTACATATCAGTTTTGCATAATATTCTTTGATAAATGTACTTTGCATTTTATCCCACTGTGTGATGTAAGGTATTATTTTGTTGGATGTTCGTTACATGTTTCATGCTCCTGACATCAGACTAATAAGGTATCTAATTTTCATGATTTCTTAGACATAAATATTAGTTTTATTTTTTTCTAGTCTAGCCTAGTCCCTGTTATCTCTTTCTTTTTATCCTCAGTTTATCAGATTACTAAAGTACAGAGCTTCTTCATCACACTGACTTTCAGTGTTTCCTGCACAGAACTGGCTCTTCCATAGGAGTGAGACTGGTACCTAGTTCATCATGTTTTTGTTACTTCTGTGATGCCAGTTTCATTCCCTACACTATTTTTTCATTCTGTTGCCCAAGATTCTTGCATTAGTGCACAAATACTTTGATTGTTCCTAACTAAACATTCACAGTTTCTTAGCAGAATTAGTTCCCACACTATCTGCATCATCAGTCTTTCAGCATTACTGTTTCCCTTCCCTGCTCCCCATCCTCCTGTATTCTATTGAGTTTCACTGTGAGACTTTCCAGTCACCACCTACTCACTTTGTCCTCTCTGCAGTACTTGGGAAGAGGCATGAAGCTTTGAAATGCTTTTTAATGATGTTGCTTTCAGTTGATGTTGTTTTTATCAAGTCCTTTATTGTGATTTAATGTTATTGACAGAATTTGAGATAAATTTACATGTTGCACACATGCTACGCTTGATGACTATAAATGGCGAAGGTTACTTCACAGTCAATATGGAATTCCTGGTGTTTGTGCAAGAAAGGTTATTGGTACTTTTAAATCCTTTAAGGGTGGTTGAGATCATGCTTCTCCTTTTTCCCACAGCCACGGATTAAAAAAAACGATCAAGTGCTTTGTCAGCATAATGTAGTCCTCGCAAGTCAGACTTTGGTGCCCACAAAGACGTCTGGATACGCAAAGGTGGAGAGTTTGGAGCACAGTATGACTGTGATGGAGCAGGAAGAGGAGAAGAGAGCAGGACGAGACACACTACAGTCTGTTCTGCCAGTAGTTGCCATCTTCTGCCTGTGGATCTCTAGATTTGCTTTAGAAAAACAAAATGACGGTTAAAACGTGATGATGTGGTTGGCATTGATCTCCTTTTAATTTCAAAGGATCTGTCAGCCACATTGCAACACAAAAGGACTTGAAATGGCAGAGGGACTTTAAAAAAATAAAAAGGCTGTTAGGGTTGGGATTAGATTAAATTGAGTCTGTTGTGCTGTAATCTCCCTCTGTGAGCAAACAGCAGGGAAGGTGGTGAGGATGTAGGCCTTGGGAAAAGTAATTTAATTGCTGGTTACCACCAATCACTTTCCCAAATTCCTTTCCTCATCTACTGGAACAGTTTTATTAGCTAGCTGCCCAGGGAGATTTCTGTGTAGAAATTGGCTGGAACTCTTGAACCCTGGATCCAAGTGGTTCCATGGATATTGTAAATATCACAGATGAGATGTTGGACTCTTTAATGCCAGTGTAAGTTTTGTTAATGACTTGCTGAGGTCAGGATTTCACTTCTGTTTACATATGTGTTGGACTTTCTTTTGGTGGTACTCTGAGGGTGGGAAAGAATTTGGTTGTTTATCTAAAATGGTGCTGAATGGATCTCAGACTGATCCAGTGCTGCATCTGGATTCACTTCCACAAGGGACAATATGGAACAAAACTCTTGAAAAAATATTTTTTTTAACATTGAAATCAGAAGTCTTGAAAGCCCTCCCATTTTACTGTTTCATATGAGGGAAGGGCTGGCAACTTCATGTTTTCTCAGTTGAAGCAAGTTATCAGATTTTGAATGTGCTACAGTATATCAGGACTGCTATAGGTAATAACTCAGTCATTATCAAAGGTATGCTGCAAGGCATCATGGACTGACATTTTCAAATCACTGTGTAAATCTGCCTGACACAGCTTTAAAAGAAATAAAACAAGACTGAAAGCTCCAGTGTTTAGTCTAAAAACACACATGGCTGTGGTTGCTGTTTTAGCCCATGTGAGCTAACCGTGGAAGCCTTTTGTGAGCTCTCCGGCCTACTGAGTGGTGTCAGCTTGATTTGTGTGTTAATTTGCTGACTTTTCGGTTTGATGCTTTCCGTTAAAATTCACATAAAAAGCCTGCATGTTTTTGCTTTATTTAGCAGCTTTCCGTAATCTAAATGCTCTTCCAAAGACCGCCCTTGGTATCACTGAAAGTAAGAGAAAGTGCTTTCAACATTTATTCATTATTGGAATCATTTATTCCCCACTTATATGATACTGAAAGGATGGAGGCAGATGGAGAGCCTTGTAAAGTGATGATATAACCAAACGCAGAGAAGAAACACAGTGGCAGTCTTACAAGATCTTTTCCTTATGGAAAAATACTGAATAAAATGATCAGTGGTGTAAGCTAGGAACTGCCTAGCGTCAGCTCAGCCTAGTGCCTTCCTGGCACCAAAGCTTGTCTTGTCCTGTTTAAGTTAAAGGATCCTCCTTACTCCATCTCACATGTCCCTGCTCCTTAGGTCTGGTTTGCTTAAGGAAGATGACTTGTTCCTGGCAGAGGCTGCCAGGAACCAGGAGACAGCCCTGGACTGGATCTCAGTCCAAATTTGCAATTAGGATGGTGTTTTGACACTGTTTTTCCCTGCATTTTGATAGCATGTGTGATCACCTGTGATGATTTTCTTGGGGCAGATGAGGTCCTATGGACCTTCCTCCCTGGAACAGATCAACTCTGAAATATAAATTAATTGAGTAGTTTAGCTGGCACTTTAATGTTAGATGGAATAACTGCTAATTCCATAGTGTTTATGTGGCCTGAACGACTCCTCTCGTGCTCTTCTATTAAGGAGAGATCTGCAGGCCAATATATGGGCACTGAGGTGTTTATTTTCAAGTAACAGGTGAAATCATGCTATGCTTACTGCATTTCTGAAACTGAAGAGTCAAACCTTGGAAGTGGCCCTTCCAAGAACAGCTCCAGAAAACAGTTCCTTGAATCACTAACATTACCTCTATTGTTTTGAGTCAACACTGATCAAAAATGCACCCTCAGGAAGTGGCTGGAGAGCGTGAGTTTGGTATAAGGTAAAAGCCTCACAAATTCCCACTGGATTTTTGATAAAAATAGAAAGATCAACCATTGTTTAGAAGTAGTCATCAAGCATTACTTCCCTAGCTTAAAAGAATGTCCCTCTATGTCTGAAAAAAAAAATGGTATTACCCTGTAAGTCAGCATCTGTTGTGTATTGTTACGTACCTACTGTACCACATACCTTAAGCCACAATTAATGGATGAAGTAAATTTTTGTTCTGACCTGTTCCTGCAGCTTGAAGCTCTCAGTGATGGCAGTGAAGCTAGGATCAGGCCCATAGTGGAAAGATCCTCTAAAGTTCTGTGTAACCCATTCACTATAATTTAAAAAATCTAGGTTTGAATACGCCATCCTGTTTTTCTTTCCACAGGCAGAGTCACTCCAGAACAGCTCAGCTCATACATTCAGCTTTTCAGAAATAATCTCAAAGCTTTGGAGAACCATTGTGGTCTTCTACAGCTTGTGCTGGCCATGGTCCAGACTTTGAAACACCCCCAGACTTCCAAATGGGACAACTTCCTTGCCTTTGAGAGATTACTTCTGCAGGTACATATTACATGAATTTATTTGACCCAAGTAAAAAATGTTTTATTTAATTTTTGGAATTCCCATTTAATTCTGTAGCTTGTATTTTTTTATTAAGAAGTACATTGGATGCCTTGCTAAAAAGCTGTTCCTTATTGCCAAAATGGTAAATGAATGGGAATCTACACAGTTAATCTTTTATAGTTTTGTCTGAGAATAATTTTATAAACAAAAGGGTAGACATTGAAGGTGAAGTAAATAAGTAATCTGAGTTGGGTGGTGGTTTTACATCTATATGAAATTTCAAGTTGATAAAACTTCTAGCATTGAATAGGATCATCATCATCATCATCATCATCATCATCATCATCATCATCATCATCATCACTATCACTACCAGTCTGAAGATGCTTCTTGAGGTAACGTGCTGAATCAAATGCAGAGAGGACTTTGTTACTATGTGAGTGTAAAACTTGTGTAATTTACCAAGCAGATGAAAGCGTAGTAGGAAATTCCATGCACCAAGAGAGTGAGCTTTCTCTTGCTCACAGCTGTCATCTACCCTCAGCTTTTCCCACCATCACATTTTTTACGGCATCCTGTTGGTGACCACAGTATTATTTACATACCGTTTTGTATCACACTTGGATTTCTCTCAGGAAATTAAGAGTTAGTGGTATATTGAACTCTGTCCTACTAACCTTTGGAGATGTACCAAACAAAGGAGGAGTTTTTCTAAGAACCTAATAGAGTTAATTTCTGCTGAATTTCAGGGAAAGCTCAAAACTTTCCTTCCTGCGCTGTTTCTTCTGCCATTGTGTTGTTTTTAGAGGAACCATCTTCTGAAATCCTAGCAAGAGGCAAATCTCCACGAGGTAACTTCTAATGAAGCTAGAGTCAGCTTTAAATGAATAAAGTGTATAGTGTGGGTCTCAACTAAACCCAGATACTTCTTCGGTAAAAAATAGCTGTCTTTGTCTAGATGTTGAAAACAAACCAACAACTCAACTCACCCCATGATCTCTGGAAGCAGTATGTAATCCCTGGTCCTTTGAGAAGACTCAGTCCATGCTTCATAGCTTTGTAGTCAATGAATTTCTGTGACATTTTGGAGGCAAAGAATGCAAAACTTAAATAGTAGCAAGCTCTTGTCTACATTAATTTAAAAAAACTCTTCTCTCTTGGTAAGACTGAAATATTTTTGAATAACATAGACAGTTTACTTTGTCTAGTTAAGAAACAAACACATCTCAGGAAAAGAACTCATTGCAGCCATTCTTTGGTTTGTCTGGACTGTAGAACATGGGACTGACAGCCCATAGTCCCCTTCCCTCTCCTGCAGTGACTCATGTCACATAGCTCTTCTCACAAGCTGGCTAAGTTCCATCTTAAAACCAGTTCAGCTTTAGAATCAAAATAAAGCTGCAAGCTCAGCATTGTTTTCACAACAGACAGCTGCCCATATAAAAACCATGCCATAAATCATCAGGAAGTGGAAAAACAGAGGTAAGAAACAGCTGAACTATATATTTCATAAAAAAGAAATGTATAACAAGCACTCTTATAATCGTAGATGGCTTTGGATTATACCCACTGCCTTCCACCCATCACATTAAGGTAAAATGTGTTAGCCAAAGCAAACTTACTAGGCTAACATTTCTAACTGTTCCTTAAGCACAGACTTATTTTCAGTAGTTCGAACAACAATTATTTTAAATTACGCAATCTGTACAGCATGTATCCTTCTACTGCCTCTATTTTGAAGACAGAGTCTGACATGCATTATCTGCTTCTGAGCATATGGCCTGTCTCTGATCTGTTAACAGGGGCTTGTAGGAAGAGCAAAATACTGAGAGATTCAGAAGACATCAAAGATTTTTTTTATTTAGAAAAAAAAAATCAACCAGGTCATTACATTGTGAATGGTTGGTACATAACACTCTGCACTAAATTTGATGCCAGGATAGTTTATTTCAGCAGTACTACTGAGACACAGTTGCATATTTAGTATAATTTTTATGTTTCAGATATTTTAAAATAATAAATCTTTAAAAATCCTCAGTAAAAGTAATTTTTTCAACATGAAAGTAGCATTGTTACTATGCTATATTGGAACCACACAGAAGACAACTGTTTGTGAAAGATCTACTGGGAGTAAAATTATTAGATTCGGACAATGTAGGAATTCTAGATTTTTCACTGATGGATGCATGTCAGACTCCAGCTGATGCCAAAAGAGATAACCCAGTATAAACAGCTGGTGTTAGAATTCTCAGATTTCCCAAAAAAATAAATCTGCACAGTTTTAGCATTTCTCTCATTACTGGATCTCTCTGATGGGTCTCATGATTCTCTGCTTAGTCTACTTCGTGCTTTTTGAAAAACCACATTGTTGACACAAAACCTTTCGTCTTAACTCTTACATTGAATAAACTCTTCCATTTTTCTTCTTTTCTTTACTCCTTGAATCACTCCTTTCAGTTGATGTTGTAGATACTCAGTTCTACAAATGGCCTGGTAGAAGTAGAAAGCAGCCCACTTCCACTATTTTATCAGAATTAAAGATCTGTAACTACATTTTTCAGACCTATGTTGTCTCAATAAGTTTTTTACATCTCCAGCAAGCACGTTTGGTTTTGACTAGAAGTCTGCTGAAAGTCAGTGCAGCTGCCTACTTACTACAGAGTTGTCCTCTCCTTAACTGGGATGGATGAATGGTCTGAGAGCGAAATTGGATTTTGATGGGATCATGGCCTTGATCTCAAAGGAAAGAGGATCGTGTGCTGGGTTAAAAGTAATATATCAGAATGATTCATCTTGTCTGTCACAAGTTTTCTCCATTCTGCTGCTCTACCTCTGCACATGATGGAACTTTTACTACTCAGAACCTTGAAATGCTTCGTGAATTGAAACAGTATGTCCTGTTTACTAAGGAGATATCCCATCCCATCATATTTTCCTTCTCTTGAAGTCCTCTCTCTGTTTTTCTAATTCTGACCATCCATAAAACTGATAGGCGGGAAGAGGAACACAAGCTAAATGCTGCACCACGCTGCCTGCAGCTCTCCAGTATTCCTCATGTGACTGCCTCATTTTCCTTCGAGTGAAGATT